TCAGGTGCACGGGGCATATGCTAGTTATTTCAGTAGTAAAAACATTCAACTGTCATGTTCAAAAATGTCAGCTGAGAAAGTTCCAATATTCCTAGTTGGAGCTCCATGCATAAAGGCTACATCCAAAGAAGGAAAAGCAAATTCTTTTATGAGTATAGCATAAAGGCATGACAATAATTAAACAATGCTTAGTGACAAAGAATCTAACTCTGCAATAATTCTGCACAGTAATTCGTTCTACATCTCTCAGCCCATCATAATGCTGCAGAATGGAACCATGGAATTAAGAAGCACAGTAGTGAAATCAATGTGAAGCAAGCAGAACAAATTCTGAATGACAATGCCATGTCCAGAACATGGGAAGGAAGCCACAAATAGCCTCTGACCATGTTTATATTCTATTCCCACAATAGTTTTGGTCAATCAGTCAACAATTTTATCGAACAAATTTATAAGAAAGTGTTTTGGATAAAGGAACAGTTTTAAAAGGTGTGCCCCTTTGACCTGGAGGGCCTTATAAATAGGGTTTAAGAATAGAAGAGCATGCATGCATATGGATCGCAATACAGATGAAGATAGAAGGAAATAAATGGAGGAGGAGAGTGAGTGTGAGCCAAGGATGACTTGCCGGCGCACACATATACATAGAAAATACTCAATTTGGGTATTGTCGGCAAGCATCTTGGCTTATGTTTGCTTCCTTTTCCTCTTGCATGCACAGTTAATAATTCAGGTTAAGCTCGATGCGTCGAGTTTAATTATATGGCTAGCTCGAATAAGTTTGGCCTAAACTAAACTCAACTAGAGTAAGCCCACATCTTGCCCAAATTATAATATGAATATATGTCATTTGGTAAGTGTGTGTGACTATGAACTACAGCATAGTTTTTTTGACCGAGTAATCAATCTTAGTATGCGTGCGAGTGGCCTAGTTCTTGGCATTTTCTTGTTTCTCTGTTTTGTTGATTTTTTTTTTTTTAAATCAAGTGAGTTAGGTTTGCATCAAGATGAGAACGTGTTTCGATTCTAGACTCAAAAGAGCACTTACACATTTTTTAACAAGTTCCTCATTCTAGTAGAGGGATTTTGTGGGCTATAAATTAAATTCTTGTTAATTGGATCAATTTTTGATGTGTCTTCTTTAATTTGGCCTGTATTGGTATTTTTTTAAGCATTGATCTAGTTTTTGGATTTTTTTTTAGTTTATTAAATAATTGACAGCGCAACTAGAGGAAAGAAGAATATAACAAAGGTTTCTGTTTATTTAAGTCCTCTATGCTTATTTTACTTTTAAATTAATAACATGTATATTTGACGAGCCTGATTTCATTTTAATTATTAAGATACATTATTCATTGGTTATAATTAATGCGTGTCTTAGTTTTTTAGACTCAGTGCAACATGCATCATGCATGATGTATTTAGCTGTTGAATTCAATTTGGAAAAGTTAATTACTTTGTCGTTTAACTGGCAGCAAAAAGAGAGGATCATAGCAGAGTTATTATTTATTAAACAAGGCATTTTGGTAACTTTTTAAACAAGGCACGCCATTACTAATATTATTATTCTTGTAATTTGTCTTTGGCTCCATTTTTGACACCTCATCAGTATTCTTCAGCATCTCTGCACAAAGTCGAACGATGTTGGAACCACACTATAATATTTTTTTGTTTTAAGCTAAAAAATTTTTCAAACCGCAATATTCACAGTGAGCTGCACAAATGTGAAAATTACTTTAAATTCTGTTTCACATATTGAATTATCATGACACTATATTTTTGTCTCTAATACTGTCACTTTAAATTACATGGTATTGTGCATTCCTCGGCATCCCGCCTTGTGTTTTGCTTTGTGACAATTGGGTATGATTAACAATAGTGGTATTATGGCGAAAAAATCTTAGATATTGATTTTAACTATACTTTTTATATGTATGCAATAGTTATCCGTTCTTTTTTATAAATAAGCTTGGAGGAAGTATATATATCATTTAGCATTGGCCAATATATATATATATATATATATATATCACTTAGTAATAATGTTTTATGACTTGAACAATTGGACCGGCCATTGGATTGCCATCCGAAAACAAAAGGAACTCAGTTTGACTCATTAACTCATTTTAGAAATTGACTGCTTAGGATCATTTTGAAATCAGGCGGTTTTGACAGAATCAGAGTTAACTCAAAAACTAGATTGTTCAATTGTTTTGAACTGTTTTTTCTTTTTATCTTATTTAATGTCAACTTTTATCTGGATTGTTATGGTGAATTTTTGGTTGTATGATTTGTTTGTTAGCATTATATGAATTATTTGTAGAATCAATTAAAAACTTATTTGCTTTAAAAGACAAATGAGGCAAATAAAAAATGTACATATAAACAATTTGAGGAAATTAAAGCTTGATATGTTATGGCTAAAAATTTTAAACTGAGGATGATATTACTGATATTTTTAATCTTATATATATATATATATATATCTATAAATATTATTTTTTATTTAATTATCATGTTATCGATAAAGTATTTTTGTTGATATATAAATAAAACATTAAAAATATCTACTAACATTTTCAATCGATCATCCGATCTAGCTTTTAAAATATTGTTTCAGTAATTTCATAGGCTAAGCAAATTTCAATATTTTATGCATACGTTCCTTATTTTTTGGTTTTCTAAGATATCCATACAGTTGGTAGCTATAAAATTAATCTTTGAAGAAATCTAAACACCATCTAATAAGTTGCCCTTTCACAAGCAACACTTTTCATACACATCTCAAAAAATTGAATTTTAAAATAATACTTAAGATGATCATATTATTTTAGAAATTAAATTCTAAAATAATATTCGAGATATTTGAATACTATTTAAGATATTGTCCTTCTACAAGCGACACTTTCCATACCTACCTTAAAAATTAAATTCTAAAATAATACTTAAGAGGACCATATTGTTATCAAATGTGTCACACCTACTTGATTGTATTTGTCCCCTATTAACAATTAGGACAAAATGAAGGCGTCTCCAAAATTTTGTCAAATAGACACTTGTATATGATGAAGGAATATCGTAGTTACTGGGAAAAAAAACAGAGAGAGACATAAGTAAAACTATAAAAGACAACTATATGTTGCCTAACTGCTCCAGGCCCAAAAAAATTGGGCCGAAACAGAAATATAGACAATGTCATCCAAATAACTTCCCCCAACTTCCCCACAAATGCCGAACAGTTTTCAGGAAAGCGTGGATTCAAACTGGAAGCAGCCAGCCAGCAACCATACCATACTTGAGGGAAAATTAGACCGGTTAAAACAGTGGTTCAAAATTCAATATAGTCCAATCATAGGTCAATCTATTCATGATTACGATAATTTAACTAAAGTATATAAATATTCACATATATAACCCTAAAAAGAGAGTAATGGTTAAATAGAGGTCTCAATACAAATAAATGGAATATAAACGATACATAGTTCAACAAAACAGAGTTATTAAAATACAAATATGATAGACTGCTATTTTTTTTTTTTATTCAAAACGATGTTGTTTAGGTTTAACAAGGAGAAGGAAAAATATAAAATTCAATCATATTGGCTCATCTAAAACTCTTAAACGAGTTCACCTATTCATTGATCTACTCAGACAACCTGAATTAGATATTAATACCTTGATTCTTATAGGAGGCTGCTCGCTCAACAAGCACTATCATTAACTTACCAACTCAGGCACCTTATATGAGAGGAATAGAGTTTAATGTAGCCAAAAACAACTTGCCAGGTAACATCAACTTGAAACCAACACCAGATAAAGCCCTCAGCTTCACATGATGACAGCGAGACATACAAATCGGCTGGCAAGTCATTCTTGGCTACATACTACCCTATACCTGTTTCCTGTAGACCTCTAGCTCCACGAACTAGCCAGGCATGACTCATTTAACTGAAGAGATATATGCACATATGCATAAAAGAACGTTGTTAATTCAAGCATTCACTAATACTGATAAATCCCCATGGAACACCGACTTGATGAATGGTTTGAGATGGATGGGGGAGATAAGATTTGTTTACTTGATTCTTCTGCTTTAACTACATGGGATCATTTATATGGGAATAGAGTGCTATTTTGGCTGGTGTGCCTTTTAGAAAAGTGAACCGTGCGTTGTAATATTTGCCGTCCAAATGGGAAGGAATAACTATTTACAACACTTCAAAGCATGCTTGCTTTTTAATTTTTGCCCTTCAAATTTAACCTATATAAGTGTTTGTGTGTGTGTGTGTGTGTGTGTGTGTGTGTGTGTGTGTGTGTAAGTATAAGCTGTGCGGCATGCGGCTTGATAAGAAATTTACGGGTCTGGCGCATCACATGGACTGAACTCAAGAATATGATTCTTTGGGAGGCACAGAATAAGTTATGGATAGAATCTCATTTTTAGGCCTCACTCTTATCTGGAATAACGGTTACTTCATTTTACGATCCAGTCTCATTAATTAGTTGACTTTGTCCATTCAATCTCCTCCCTACATAAATGGGGGATATTATTCGTTCATTTACTTTAATGAGCTTAGCATTACTTAGAAAATAATACAACACAGCCCATAAAATCTATCGATTCAGCACAATGAAAAGAAAAGGACAATGTGTTGTCAAAAAAGAAAAAGGCAATACAGGGTTCACCCTTGGCCAAGTCGGATCTGATAGCTTGAGTTCTGAACCTTGGGCTATTTTGATGGGAACCAAGCTGGCGTGGGATATGGGGCTGCGTCAGGTGATTGTAGTGTCTGATTCACTAGAAGCGGTGGAATAGGTTAATGGAGGCGATATAAGTCACATCAGGACAGATTGCTCATTGAGGAATCTCGATCTACTTTGCAACGGGATTGGTCGATCATGGTTTCACATGCCTATGGTTCAGCTAATAAAGTTGCAGATTTTTTAGCTCGTCAAGCTTGTCAGCATAGGATCAGATGGATAGAGCTAGATCAGGACTGTTTAAGCTTTAGCAGCTAGTAGGCCGCTCCTTTGTTCATAAACCAAAAACAACAACAACAACAACAAAGAGAAGGGCAATACACTTCAGTGACATAGACTGATATAAGCTAAGTGCCTGCTTCTTGCATCAACAGTTAGTACAACCAGCAGCACGTGGTATAGGTGAAACATGAGGTTACAAAAAAGCAAGTCATCAGCACCTAATCAACGAACTCCCATGTGGGTGATTTTCCTTCACTTTTTCCCTCCCACATGTGTTGACGGAGCCTAATTCCTAATAACCTAGAAAAACAGGGGAAAATGCTTCATCATGTTGTATTGACCTATATAATTATCCTCAGTTCATACCATAGGGTAAGTCAGGTTCCTACTTGATGATTATCTCCAGCGGATCTGCTTGGTCAAATTGAGGTTACCGTAATTATGAGATATCTTCAAATTATACATGAGTAATACCAAGAAGTTATAGTATATATGCACTTCTAGTGAGAAATTTTGGGTTCTACTCTTGTGGATTCTTTATCACATATAGCAAGAATAGACATGCTGACAACTGTTACTGAGGGCTGAGGCCCAGAGCCAGCTATACCTGTTCAGTAATAATTTCGGGCAAACCTCCAAAAGCAGCCCCTAAATGTCCGTGCTTACTACAGCATTCCATCATGTAGCTCTTGCAACACCCACCAATGCCTCTCTTGTCCAAACTAATACAAGCATGGGCCATTGAAAACTCAATGGATTCCTTTGAAGAGCCCTCACAACATGCACCAACGTCTCTCTCACTTGAAGAGGCGCGCACAACAGGACATTCATCTGGACAGCCTTTGCAACAAGAAGCTTTTTCTTGGTCTTCCCAGCTCCCACAAGCATGTGTTGAGGCTGATTCGGCATGCTTATTGTCTATGGCGCTGGCGATATGATCGCCCCCACAGACCTTAAAGTCACATAGAGGCCCTGAACTTCGATGCTCAATTTCATGATCGCATCTTGGCGTCTTTCCGAGATTATGATCCTCAGCAGTTTCAAAATCATTGGTCAAGTGGCAGTGATGCTTATTGCTGGATTGTTGACTTCTTTCTGTGCAGAAAGATTGAAGTTGCAGGGGAAACAAGCGATACTCCATCGTGACTGACTGGGCCACAATCTCTGTCGTGGCATTGTAATGTCTTGTGGGAGTTCTGTTCCAAACAACCATGATTGTCTGTTGCCCTCGAACATTTATCTGCTCCAGTCAGGATCATGTGAGGAGACTCTGAACAAACCTGGCTTTCTATATCATGCGAATGCTTGAAATGGCAGGCAGAACTCAGTGATGCTCCATCATAAGAGTTGGGTCAAAATTTCTTTGAGGCAATGTGATGTGCTGTGGGAGTTATATGTTCCGAACAGCTACCATGAATGTCTGTTGAAATTGAACACTTACCTACTCCAATCACAATCTTGTCCTGAGATCCTGACAACCCTTGCTTTCTGTATCATGCGACTGGACACTACCTTTCTCACATCTTCCATGATGACAGACATTTGGTTCACGGAATTCATCACTGGACTTACTTTGGTCATGGTTTTCTATAATTCTAGAATGTTGATGAGTATCATGCTTGTGGTGGTGGTGGTGGTGTGAAGATTTGCCATTATTGGCATGACATCCACTTTTATGGAGATGTAGCTGAGTGGAAGATCTACAACATTTTCCTCTATGCTTCTCTCTTCGGTGCAGGAGGAGCATGCTGTTTAAGATTACCAACAAGCATGTTCCAACGTCGGCAAGAACTGCTGCCCAAACAAGTGGATGACCAGCAATGGCGAGGCCAATGATTGCAGCCTTAGTCACAATTGACAGTATTATATTTTCTATTACTTTCCTTCGAGACTTTCTTGCAAGCTTAATGGCTTGTGGTATCTTCCTCATGTCATTTGACATGAGAATTATATTTCCTGTTTCGCTTGCTAGTGCAGAACCTGAAATACCCATTGAGATACCAATGTCAGCTGCAGCTAATGCTGGTGCATCATTCACACCATCTCCAACCATGGCTGTTGGTCCTTCCTTTTTGAATTCAGTGATGATTTTGGCTTTTCCTTCTGGTAAAAGCTCTGCGTGGACTTGCTCCAAAGCATGCCCTAGCTGTAGATAAAATTATTTTTGCCATTATTAATTAGTTCTGTTTCTACCACACTGATGTTATCTACAGAAAGTAAATGCTGAGATTAGAGCAAAGTCACATAACTACAAAATTCAAAATAAGATCTCAAATCGTCTGTCACACAATATAAATAACTGAATTCTGTTTCTTGATATAAAATCCAGTACTGGTAAATGTCTTTCCTGCAGAAGCTAGCTAGCTAGAATCAAGCCTTATTCAGTTCATATTGAGATGTTTCAGTTTCAAAATTTATTAAATATGCAACATCAGTTTGCATTCCAAAATTTAATATTTATGCATGAAAATCTAAAATGAAGAGAGAAAACAGTGAAAAGGAGGAACAAGAAAAGACCAAAACAAATAAAATCTAAAAGAACAAATTTCACGAAGAATATTAAATGAAGCACTAAAAATTCATTGAAAAAGAAATATTTTTCCAAACCACAAACCTGCTCTTGAGCCTGCATGGCAGATGCATGACTATCTCCAGTAAGCATGGAACTTTTGATGCCCAATAACTTTAGCTGACTTAGAGCCTCCACTACCCCAGCTCGGCAAACATCTGAAAGAGAGAAAACTGCAATTGGAGTTGCTCCTGAGTATACATAGCCAATAGTCTTTCCTCCCTGAGAGCCCCTTCAAAGGCAGGAACTGTAAATTTATGCAATTAGAGTGAACAGAGTCGGCCCCATCAAAAAAACGACAAGTTAATGATAGTATAAGTATCAATCTTGCTTTGGCTAAGAAGGAAATTGGTGTGACTTATGAAAATTTCTTCTAATATCCATCAAGAAGGGGGAACATATTACAATATACGCTACACCACAATAAGCTGTGAACTTTATTTCAGACAAAATGGCAAAGATATGTACCTGTCTTAGACCCAGCTCTTGTGGCAATTTTTCTACTTCCAATGTAAATATATCTCTCATCAATTTTTCCACAAATACCTTCTCCAGGAAATTTTCATAGTCTGTCACCTCTTCTGGCTTAGGATCAATAGAAAGTGACTTTCCATAATCAATAATTGCTGCCGCCAATGGATGACTTGACTTACTTTCTATGCTTGAGACCCTAGAAAATCAAACCTCAGGTTTCAATTATTGTATTACATACGAAAGTTGAATGAATAGTATAAATTGCAGGGAAAATATTCCAAAGCAATTCCAGTCGTCATCTAATTTGAAATTATCAAGGTATAATTTCAGTTTTATCTTTTCTCATGAGATATTTCGCGAAAGAAACTCTGTTGTTTGAAAGAGCCAGGAAAGAAGTGAAGATCTCACCAGTAAAGCAACGTGTTCAAATCCACATCATCACAGAGGGATTGGAAATTTGTCACCACAAATTCACCCTTTGTAATGGTGCCAGTTTTGTCAAACGCCATGACCTTAACTTTTGCAAGGGTTTCCAGGTAATCACCCCCTTTGATGAGAAGGCCCGATGTCGCTGCTTTTGTATACGCACAGAAAGTCACAACCGGCGTAGAAAGGACAAGAGCACATGGGCATGCGCTTACTAGAACCACAAGCGCAAAATGAACCCAATGTTTCACATTATGTACTCTAAACAAAACTGGAATCACCGCCAATAGAGTTGATATGATCACAACAGCTGCGAACATAACCAAAAAAATGAGAACCATGAATAACACAGAAGAAACAAAGGAATGGAAGACATATGCTATAGTAAACCACTGTGAGGACGAGAAACAGCATGCATTTAGGATGGCCTTTTTAAAAAAAAAAATAATAAAGATCAGATGAGTTCTCAATTATAATTATCACATGAATGTATTTGCTATCATCAAGCGTTTTTGGAAAATTGAAATGGGCCAAATGATTTTCAATAGCTTTGTCACCCTAAACCCTCTTATTTTTTTCATGCATTGTCGTGCCCGTATTAAGAGGCATCAAATAAGTAATAACAGATGCCAAATTAGGCGAGTGAATGGGAGTCAATAATTAATTGCCTTTAAGATTCAAGAACCACTGAAAATGCAAGAAATGCAGACTAACCTGGGGTATAAAACTTGGCAAACTTGTCTATCAATCTCTGGCTCCTGGTTTTACTGTTTTGAGCTTCTTCCACTAGCTTTGCCATTTTCGCCACCACACAATCTTCAGCCAGGGCATTAGTTTAACACTAATATAACCTTCAACCAAAAACCCAAAACAACAGCATTACACAAAACAGGGGAAGAAGAACACTTGGGTTTACATGGCATTACAGAAAGAGTACCATTTAAATTGATAGTGCCTGCCCAAACAGTGGAGTCCTTTTGTTTCAGTACAGGGAATGACTCGCCGGTCAAAGTTTTCTCGTCGACTTCACAAGTTCCATCTACAACAATTCCATCAATTGGTATGACTTCCCCTGCTTTAACGGCTAGTACGGTGTTCACTTTGACCTCGTCGGCGTCCACAACCTCTCCGGTTTCGGCTATGGTTGCTTTCTGGGGAGCTATGTTCATCAACGATGACATTGCTGCACTCGCCTGAATCCATTGATTTTGCAATTCAGAATCTTTGCAGCCTCTTCTTTCTCGGCAAATCATTTTTTTTTTCTAATGTTTACTATCAATTATGCATTGCAGTTCTCCGTGATTGTTTATGAATTGGTTTTTCTGTAAGCATAACTATTAGTGCATGTAATTTTAGCAGCTTTCATTATTGGTTTGTTCTCTAATTTTTTTCGTCTACAACGATAAACTTTTTACTTTTAAATATATTTGAAAGATGATGATGTAGTACTAATATCAATGTTAAATTGGCTAATATTTAACTAACAATGTTAGGGAAGATGCTAACATATTTAAAATATAATGAGTTAACAATTTAAATGAGCATAAAATTTAAAAAAAAAATAGACGGTTGCTTTCTGACAAGGCTGTTATGACAAAAGCACTGTTGTAAAGTGATTTTTCCGGGGTTAAGCTTTTTATTTAATATATTCATCAAATGTCCTAAGTTAATATTGTTAATGTTGAATCATGATTTTTTTGAACATATTTAAAAATAGAGCAATTAAAGCTGTTGATGGAAAAAATCATAGAAATCTCAAACATGGAAAAAAAGTACAATAACCAATAATAAAACATGATAAAACTAAAAGGACCAATACTTATATACATATATATATATATATATATATCACCAAAGTTTATGAAGGACGTTTAAGTAATTTTGCTGTCATATAAAATTTTGTCCAATTAAAATAAATTAACCAGGCACAATTTTCACTTTACATTGCATATAGAGATTGAGAATGACTATTATTATTCACCTGTTGTAAATAAAACAGATTACTGTAAATTTTTTTATTTAAAACATTGTAAAAGGAAGCTATCTTAGTAATTAGTAGTACTTGATAAAATAATAGCCATAAAATATAGTATCATATTTGTGGATGGTATATATGTTTTGTTTAAGGTTGGACAAAAAGTAGCATATCATCAAGAATTCAAGATGTCTCCGAGCTGGCGGATAGTCTCTTTACATGCCATATTTATTCCAATAAATAACAGATTGATTAGAGATATAATAAAGTTTACATGCATATAATTAATTTTTAAAAAAATCTTTAAAAAAAGAAAAAGAAAAGTATACCTTGTGACTTGCTCTTGATTCAAGCCATTCAGCAATGGAGAAGAGGAAGACAATGGTAGCAGCTTCCAAATAATCATGCATGACAATAGTTCCCACAACTATCAAAATCAAAAGCTTCAATATTAGCCCCGTTGGCTCTTTGGCCCGTGAATCTCAATAATTAAACTTTGCCAAAACTGTTTTCCCTTCTATTAAATTATTTATTTATATATAGCGTGCTTGCTGAAACATCTTTCAAAATTTTATCATTAATTGAGCTCAACAGTGTTCAAATTTCACCTATCAAATAACCACATCCAAAAAATAATAATTATATATAATAAGTGGTTTTAGGAAATCACATTATCACTTAACTTCTACAAGAACTTCCAAAAGAAGATGCTTAGAATTTCGTGCAAAACAAATTTGTTGCTTCATCTTACACGAGAAAATTAACTTTCATTATCAATGGTGAATAGATATATAGATGCATTGTTTTAGGCTTAATTTTTTAGAGATTAATTAATATGCAATCAGTAAACTATGGATAGTGACGTCTATTTTATTTTATTTCTATCTATAACTTAAATAATTTATTTAGTGAGCTCTACAAATCAACGCTCTGATCACTAGAGTACAAAAGAGTGTTCAAATTAAAAAATTATTAGGTTAACATTAAAAATTTCAATAATTTTTTATTAACTATAAGAGACTAAATTAAAATATAATCATAACAAATAAAATTAATTATTTGATTTTTTATGATAACAAATTTCATTTTGTCCTAATATTATACTCCATCCATCTCATAAGTTGAGATGATATTACACATACTAATAAAACACAATAATGATACTTTATAAGTTTATTTTTTAAAACAAAACTATAAGCTTTAAAAATCTATTTATATTCTTAATCATTATGCTATAATATCATTTCAATTCTTTAAAGATAAAGAGTAATATTAGAAAAGTATAATTAATAAAATTTATTTTTTTTAAATTATCCTATAATTTGAAATAATAAAATTTTTTAAAAATTATTTTATAATTTGGGACGGATAGAATACTTTTATGTTGAAAAGTTTTTTGATTTAATTATTGTTCCCCATATCTTGTTATTTTTCGGAAAAACTACATAAGCTAGCTAGAAAACAATAAGTCTGTCAAATATAATTGGATGGAATATAAATGGTATAATTAATTATTAAAGCTATTTTACAAAAGAAACACTAGAACAAGGTTAAATGTTTGAAAAAGAAAAAAAAGAATTGGTATAATTAAATAGATTATAAATGGTAGTGATAATGGCACGCTCTAAAAAGCAAATAGAAAAATGTACGTGCTTTAAAATAAAGGTCCACCCCACCACCACCTGTTGTTTCAATTGGAACCGCCTTTTATAAGAAAGGAAAAAGACGCCTCCCCACGTCTTCTCTGCATGATTGGATTATTATTATTATATGCTTCATTACATACACATACACCTCTTTCTCTTAGGGGAAAATCGCAATTAAGAATCCTTAAAAATCAGTAATAACTATTCAAGACCAAAAACTATATTGAAATTGAATTCAGGACCGTGGTTCTTTTTGCAATTTAAAAATAATAATATTTTAACTAAAATATTCCTGTCCGAATTGCACGTATAGTCACTTATTTTGAGAGATATTTTAGTCCTAATGATAATTTGTAAAATGCAGAAAATAGCCCTAGTACTCCAATTCAATTTCAACATTTTGCAGTCCTCAATCCTCATTCATCGCTTTTCCATTCTCCCTAACTATATGTATCTTAGCTCATGTTTCTTACACACACTCCAAGCAACTTATTTTGTATGGAGCCTAACAAATTAAAGGAAGTTATCTACTTTTTGGGTCCCAAAAGGAAAAAAAAGTTGGCGTCTTCTTTTTTTAAAAAAAATAAAAAAGCAATATAATGACTTGACAAGAACAAGTAGAAGAAAGCGTGAAGATGAGTAATTAATTAGTTGTATAAAATATTGTTCCAAATGAACAAGGCCTCGAAGGGTGTTCCCACTCATGAAAAAGTTGCGAAAGAATGGAATAACAATTTTACAAGCAAACGGCAAAACTCAATAATGCCTATCTTTATTTTCATTTAAAAAAAATAAGTCATATTTTTATTTTAATAATAATTCATTCTGTGTTGATCATTATTTATAAATAATTTATTTAAATAACCTTTAATATGATTCTCGCTTCTTTATTTTTAGTTTTGAATGAAAAAGGAATACTTATACATCCACACAACAGGAATCTCTCCTTCAACTTTAAGACAACAGAAGCCTCTCTTTACTCGCTTGCTTTCCCGGAAATCCCGGCAATAAATTTATAAGTCCTTGTTCGTTAAGCTTCCCCCAATCAAGTACATTAAAATATCAGGGATATTCACAGCAAGTTTTTGATAACTTTTTTAAAAAAATAAATTACAAATATTAATTCAGATGCTTGCAGATAAAAATTTTAATCATAATTTATAAAATAAAATTTATATTTAAAATTTAAATATAAAATTTATATTTAAAATTTAAATATCTTATTTATAATTAATTCAAAAAAATTTATTAACATGGGTTGCACATGTCATCAAGTTGTATTTTGAAAACATATAATGCACCGAAAAGTTAACAAAGGGACAACTTCTCCTAAACCAATTGCAAACGTTATTTCATGCACCTGTAGAGTGCTATAATTTGAAATTAATGATAAGCTGGTTCTTATTTTCTCTAATCCTATTGATAAGTTACATTCAAGCATGTTTCACCAGATTTTAAAAAAAAACCTTAAACCTCTTTAAATTTATCTTAAAATTCAATAAGTTTCTTCCTTTATTCATAAAACATATTCTTAAATCTAATTACAAATATTTTTATTTAAAATATTTGATAATAGTTAAAAATATAAAAAATATTAAAAATTGACCAGTATTTTATAAATAAGATTAAATTTTTTTATTTATAAAAAAAAAATTATACCTGCGACGAGGATGAGGATGTTAATGTCGAGACGGAGGTGGCGGAGGGAGGCGAAGGCTTTGAGGAGAATGGGAAGAAGAGCAGCGGCAACAGCTGCTAAGGCCACGTATTGGAGTGGGCCATACACGTACTTGAATAGTGATATCACCAGCAATATTCCTGACGTCATCGCGTATGGACTTGGCCACATGTGCTTCTGCTTCTCTTCCTCCTCTCCATAGACCCTCACATTCGCCTCCAGCCTTGCTTGGTTTAACGCCTTAGCTGCCACACCATAGAAAACAAAGCTCATATATGTTATGTACATCTTTATTTTTTTTAATTTTAAAAATAAAAAATATTATGAGATACTACTATATTTCTACCGTGTACTATATGCTTATTTTGTTATTTCTAATCTATACATATTTCTTATAATTATTAGTTCTCTCCCTTATGATGCGTGCCGGATATTAATGTTGAAAAAATTTTCTGCATGCTTCCACAAATCGCATCGCCAACCCAAACACAGCCCAATTGAGCAGCATCTGAATTGATTGCATGACTCTATGTCGGTGTAATTTTTACTTTTGGATCCTTCAGATATGATGAGATCCAAGCAAATTAAAAGAATGAGAGCAAGAGACAAGACAAGCAAAGAGAGGAGGTATGGGAAAGGTGGATTTACCGATTTGGAACTGTGAAATGAGCAGAGTGTCGTGGACGACAATGACGGTTCGGGAAGGGACGATGACGGAAACCTCTTTGATTCCTTCCAGAGGTTTGAGGATGTTCTCAATCAGCGGAACCTCCGAGGAACAGCACAATCCTACGACATCGAAGTAGCTCTTCTTCATCTTTCTCGCTCCTTCCTTCTTCCTTTCCTGCTCCGTCATGATTGATGGACGTTACAGAGAACCCAACTGTAGTCGCTGGCAAATTCTGCAGAGATATGTATTCAGAAACTCCTCGGAAACAGAGATTAAAACAGAGGTGAATCAAAGGCCCTGGAGCGGAGCGAAACGTTTCCAGCAAATCAGGAGAAAATACATGCGTGAAAGAGAAAAACCGTTAAGAGGTGGAAACACATGGAAATAATGATTCAATGTTTGATGGAGAAGAAGAAGGAGAAAGAGGAGAAATTAGTATAAATCTGTATGGAGAGTGAGGACGCTTTGAGGCTTTGAGTAAAGCAGGGGGGCTTATGAAGGGCGGTTCTTGTCTTCTTGAGATGCTTATATAGAACCACGGGAAACCACACTGACATTTTACATAAAAATAGCGTTTCAGAAAATTGATCATGTCAATATGTGAATATAAAATTAAAAGAAAAAACACCATTTATGAACATATCCAATTTCATTGGAAAAAAAAAAAGTGCTTACAGAATCTAATATTATTAAGAGAATGATAGGTAGGTTTTAAAAGATTAAATTAGTGATAATTAGTTTTTATTAATTTTAAAAAATAAATTAAAAATATCAATTTATACAATTATAAATTTAAAAGTTTGAAACGTAAAGAAGGCATCCGGTCCTATTTGTTAGTCTAGAAGATTTTCTTAGTCCTTTATGTGAGTTATTTTTCCTTTTTATTTGTAATTTTTATGCACAATTCCAACAATACCCTACAACAAATTCTAAAAGAAATGGTAATATTTAAATTTAAAAAAAATTGTTACATATCAAATCACTCTTTTTTAAATTTATCGACAAGACTAAAAAGTAATTTAATTTTAAAACAATTTTATTATTCTAACTAACTCATGGACTAATTATTTAGAAGTTACTTACAAAAAAAGGATTGAAGGGAGTAAGTTTCAAGTGTAATTATCTTATTGTAACTAGAATTTTTTTTATTTGCAACTCATTTAAAAAAATTGTCAATTACCAAATCATCATTGATTGAACCTTGTAGGACCTAATTGTCATTTTCTCTATGACCAGAGCAAGATTGGAAAAATGACATGGTAGGAACTTGTAAGAAGCATAATTACAATTAAGGGTATCAAATTTCGGGTAAATCACAATAAAGGACCTCTGTGGCTAAAAAATTAAAAAAAACGACCAATAAAATCTTAAATATCCTGCCATTCAATAATTAAAATATTCTTCATTTATTTTTTTAAAATATTTTCCTCCACCGCCATTGCTTTTGTCAGTTGAACCATGACCTTTAGTCCTCACAAGCTTTCAAAGTTCATTTTCCTTTATTGTTATTTTGCAAGTTTTAAGTCCTTGCATGTCATTTTCCCCACATGATATTGTGCCTTCAATCAAGTAGTTTAAATGATTGAGGTGTAGTGCGGTGTAAGTAAGCCACTTCAATGCAAACTACTCTAACGCATGTAATAACAACAAAATAAGATACTCTCCCTCTCTCCCAAATTATAAAATAATTTTGGAGTAAGTTTTTATCTCAAAATATAAAAAATTTGACAAATACAGTTTCATCAATGACACTTTTTTAATATTAATTTTTAAGTATAAAAAGAATTGAAATAATATTATAACAAAATGATTAAGTGTATATGGGTAGTTTTAAAAGTTTATAATTTTATTATAAATAAATAAATTTATAAAGTGTTATTATTGTACTTTATTAGTATGTGTAATTTTATTTTAAATTGTTTTATAATTTGTAATGGAAGGAGTAATATTTATATTAGTATTTTTATTTTTTATTTTTTTGGCCAATAGTAGTATGTGTTATTAATAGATTATAAAATACTACGGTTCATCAAAAATTGTACACAATATGGAAAACAAAATATCTATTAATTATAAATAAAAATAGTGAGATAATTAAGAAGGAAATTCGTTCCCGGCCAATTAACTCGATTCTTTTTTTGTTGATAGAACAATAATAAGTTTTAATTTCTCTGTTGAGGATGGTAGTGGAGAATCAATGCGACAACTTTGGAATCCAACTCTAAAATCCACGTTTTCTTGTCATTTTCATTCCGTATTATGACGTGGTTTAATCTTGCAAGAATTCACTAACTTAAGTGGCATTTCTAAATTAGTAAGTAAGTATTAGTCTTTTATTTCAAGTCATAAGATATTTTTTGACAAATTAAAATTACATATACGAATAAAGTTCATTAAATATAGTTTATAATTTTAATTCTTCTATACATTTTGAAAAATCCCTTTATTAATAAAAGATAGAGAAAAGGAAATTTATTTACAGGGTGAAATAATACAGAGTAATATTGAAATAAAACCTTAAGTTTTTTTAAAAAAAATGTCTTATATCTTGGAACAATAAATCATCGCAAAAAATATCTCATAAAATGGGATGAAGGAAGTAGTATAAAAAACTAATATTCAAGGTCATACATATCTTATTAACAACTTTTTTAACTATATCAAAATCTAATAAAAATTAACATTATCAATTTATTGAATTTGAGTCTTATATACGTTTAATGTAACTTTTCAGATTTGTTTTGTTCCTAGATATAATTCTGAATTCAGAGTTTTAGGGATGTGTAATTAATGAGTTTTCTAGAATATCCTAGTAGAGAATTAAAATTACCGAATTTTTTTAATAAAAACATTAAATATATTAAAAAAGGTATATAAAAAGATAGTTTACAAGGTCTTTGAGCTATGCTACTATGGGATGCACTTTTCAATCACTTAAACATTTAACTGAGGGTATGTTTAAAAGAAATTGACAAATTTTTATATGAAAATTTTTTGCATAAATTTGATGTATCATGTCATTCATGATTTGCCCAATAAAAACATTTTATATTATACTAGTTTAATCAAATAAAACATCATGTATCATTATTTTTAATAATTTTATTTTTAAAACAAAGTGCTTCCTTAGAATCTCCCTATTTTTAGAATAAAGTACCTATTTCTTGCCTATTTACAACCATATGACACATAACATGTTCTAATTACACAAAGTATAGATAAGATAATATATAGGATCAATACAAGAATTCTTTTTTTTTTTGGACTTCATTTAGCTTTTAGTATTTTATTAACTAGCTTGTTAAAAATATTGAGATCCATAGGCATATTTAGATTAGGAGGAAGTACTTCATCCATTAATTCATGTTAAAAAATATAAAATACTTTGAATCTTTTAAAGTATAATTAATAAAATATAAAAATATAAGGTATTTTAAGTCTTTTAAGGTATCATTAAATTTTTTTTAAAATATCCTCAATCAACAGTAAAATTAATAAGATTTTTTAATTAAGACACCTCATTAAATAAAGATAAATATTAAAAAAGTTTGTATGTAATTTAAAAGATCATTTGGCTCACTCGTTTGAAGGTGTAATTGAGTTAAAAATATAAATATTTTCTAATACTAAACAGAGGGAATTATGCTTATATTAGTTTGAGAAACTCGCCGGCCAAGGAAGGAAAGCCACATGACATGAAAAGAAAATCAATGTTCAATTAGAGTTGCTGTTTGTTATTGCGTTGTTTTGTTGCTTATAGTTTCGGTTAGAAATCAATATTCAATTAGAGTTGCTGTTTGTTATTGCGTTGTTTTGATGCTTATAGTTTCGGTTGTTCTTATAGCAAAAACTAATAAAAACAAAGTTTGGTTGTTCTGCTTGTAATACATAATGCGAGAGACTGACAATTAAAAATCATTAAAAAAATTAATGTAAAACTAGGACCAATATATCGTTTCAACTTTCAAATTTAATACTCAAACTTCTGTATTTAAATTTAAAAATCTTCCTTGTTCATTAACTTTTTTTATACAAACTTCAATTTGACATTCTCTCTGTATTCTACTTGGATTTGAATGCAATAAGTGACACAAATTTATTCACTTAATGAATATTTTCATTACAATTATTTTATTTCATCGATACTTAAAAATTATTAAAATATATTTTATAAAAAAAATTCAAAACAACCATCATAATTAAAATATCCTTCATGTATATATTGTCCTCACCAAAAATTTAAAATTTAGTGTTGTATGATAAAATCTCTTGTGGTCATTGATTAAATCGACCATCATTATCATATCATGCGAGATATTTATTAAATAAGTGAATTTGTACCATTCGTTGAATCCAAATCTAATTTGCTTACCAAAATCTAATACATGATTATATTTCGTTCATGTTCATAAAAGCACAATTTGTTAGGTTGTTTATGCGTGTCAATACAGATTCGTTCTAATCTGGACAAGCAGATCAGATAATATTAAAAAAAATTATTAAATCAACAAATTACTGCACGCTGTTTTGATTCTTTATCCGTTGCTAAAATAAATTGTTCCTCGTGGTTGACAATTTTTTTGGTGAAGTTTGATATTGATTGAACTAATTCAATATACTAACATGCCGATTACATTCGTTCGATTTGATGTGTGTGCGTGTGTTTTAACCATGTAGTCTAAAGAATATCAGCACAAGAAGCAGGGCATGAGTGGAGAATCTGAAAGTCGCTTCCTTGCCCATCATCTATTGTGATAATTCAATCCATATAAACCGTATCTCTAATCTCTAAGATCAGATCAGCAAGCGGATGGCATTAGCTTTGCAGTCTTTTTATGATAGTGTATATTATCAAAAAATTTCATATTATTCTGAAAATTTCAAACTCCACAAATTATTTTAAGGGTTAATGAATAAATAGGATTTTAAACTATTGCTTGAAAATCATCATGGACTGTAAACTTATAAAATATACAAAATAAACTATAAACTTGTAAATTTATAGCAAAATAAACGTTGATCGTCAACTTTTTAACACTATTATGTCCATACAAGTGCTGTTTAGACTTTATTTTCTTATGAATTTAACCCTAATTATTACTGTACCAGTATAAATAGTAATAATGTTAAAAAAGTTAACGGTCAGTGTTTATCTTACTATGAATTTAAAAATTGAGAGTTTATTTTATATATTTTAAAAGTTTAAAATCCAAAACGATTTTTGAGCAAGAGATCAGAGTTCTATTTACTCATTAACCTTATTTTAATATTATTTCAAAATTTCTTCAAAGGTTTAATTTCTTTTTTTCTCAAAGAAATTTTCTTTTTTTTTTGTATAAGATTCTCCACTAATAAAAATGTTAAATAAAAAAAGTAGTTAATTTTTTTTAATGAACATTTAATAAACACAACTCACATCTACGGATTAAAATAGGGTAGATAATCTTTTTAAAATGAGAAGAGTAGTTAGTTAAAAATAACATTGTGAAGCCAATTGCTTTTTAG